TATTTACTTATTATCATTTCCTATTCTAGAGAAGTTTCAAACTCAGAGAAAAATTAGCTCATTCTTATATCGGTCAGCCATTGCCATCTTCTCTCTACCTGATACACTTTAGATAAAGAGTTTTACACACATTTATAAGAAACAAGGAAACATACAGAGATGAATTTATATTTTATTCTAAGCGTCTGATACGTTTAGTTGAGTACGCACTATCTCTTTTACCTTTCGGGGTAAATGCTAATATATCAGTGAAATATGAACGAAATAAGATTTTATTATTTAAATTATATATTTATATAATTATATATTTATAATATGTAACAGTAGAAACACACAAGGAGTATTATATAATGGAAAACGTGCTGCTACGGATAAAATATGTGATGTTTCCATTTTGCGTGCGGTGAAACGATGGAACAAGCTGTCAGATGTATGCAAAGATATTAGAATAGGAAAAATACTTATCCAAACGAATCAACAGACTGGAGAGCCAGAAGTAAATGTAGCTTTATAAAATTCTTCATTTTCATTAAAATATTAATATAAAAATTATCGTAATATTTTTTCAGCTTTATTATCTATGATTGCCAAAAGATATTAAAGATTATAAAGTGATACTGATGGATGCAACAGTAGTAACAGGTGCTGCTGCTATTATGACTATTCGAGTCCTATTGGATCACGACATTGCAAAAGAAAACATATCTCTACTTATGGCAGAATCTGGTGTGCATTCGATTGCTTATGCATTTCCGCACATAAGATCGTAACATCTGCCTTAGATCTTATGATAAATGAGAAGTTTTATGTTGCCGGTATTGGTAATTTTGGCGATCGATACTTTGGAACTGAACCATCTTCGATCGATGATTAGTACAGTTGATCTCACTTTTCAGTTTCCTCAAAGCTATTAATTTATTATACAAAATACAGTAATCTTATATTATTTAATTATATTTAATAAAATTTGTGTGTTATTGAGAGACTTATGCGATATTCAATATCGATTGTTTATTACCTAATATTTATTTTAATCCATTTTACTATATGATTAAAGTAATATTGTATCGATATTAAAGTCAATAGTACTTCCTTGTGTGCTTATACCTGTACTGCGTAATTGTCTGTAACCTCGAGCACTTGCTGTACAGAAACGGTGCCAAAAATCCAAATGACCAGAACTGGGATTACTCGACTGTCCCAAAAGATATGTAATTAATCTATCAAGAGCGGCCAAATCTTCGCTCGTACTGCCAGAACCTTCCGGTAAATTGAAACTATTTTACACAGTTTGTTCTTTTTGTTCAGTATTTGTAACGTTAATTGTACTATTACTGCTGTGAAATTTTTGTGTAAACTATAAGAAAAACAATCTTATATTTTATGTATTATATATAATTTCTAATTAATTACATTAATTAGAAATTTTACGTTATCTCGTCTGGACCATGTTGACCATAACTTAATTTTTGGATTTTGCGGAATGTTTCATCATCTATAGCTTCACGCTTCGTTTAACGTTTGTTCTAGCACGCGTTGTTTTGTTTTACTTAATTCACCGCAAAAAACTGACAAAGATTTTATTTATTTTTTCATTAAATTGAAATTATAAATATTGTACGATTTT